TATATACAATAACTCATGCTCGATGACACCAGATTTATTCCCCGTTTGGCTCCCATTCTTTCAAATTAAAATGGATAAAATAGTATTTTTTGAAGAACGAGGGGCTGAAAATGAAGAAAAATATTTCGATTTACGTGTAATATTATTTTATGGAAGATTGTGTGATTAAAAATATGAGAGAGAAAAATGAAATTTAATTTAATGGGGCCAAACGGGAGCTTAATTTCTCAAACTCAGGTTAATAAAAGTAAACAAAATAATATTTTTATTAAGGAAAGAATTAGAGTCAAAACTTAATATAAAATTACAATATGTTAAGAAGCTTTACAAAATTAAGTACAATAATTTTTGGAGAAGAGCACTAAACACTAAACACAGACAAAAAATCTAAACCCACTATAAACTTAGTGACATCATAATAGTATTAATGACAAATTTATTAGTGATTAAAAAGTAATCTTTCATTTCACAATGCGTTTCCACAATAAAAAGGTGGTATAAAAGTCAAAATTCCTACACCCCTCCTTCTGTCTCTTTTTAGACAAATTATTTGATACTTCCATGATAAGTTAAATTTTAGTTGTCTAATAGATTTTCAAATCCTCCTTTTCATCTACCCTTGTTGAAGTTTCTTCTTCTTTCTTCTTTCTTGTGGGATCGTTATCTGCCCTAAATCTTAGCCATTGGTGGCTTGTATCTGGTTCATGGATATTGATCTCTTGTGGTTTCAAGGGGGGTGGTTTATATTTCAAAATTGCATGGCAAAAACTTCATCATTTTCTGCAGAAATCTCCACAAAAAATACTAACCCTTTTCTTCTGTTTCTTGTGCTTGTTTTTATTTTTCTTGTTCTTGTCAATTCCTCCGATCCCTCAAAACCCTCCATGGATTCATCACTTCCCTCTGAAAGGCTCCTCTTGAACTCCGATTCCACGACAAAATCTTCAAATTTTCACCCAAGAAAGAGAGAAAAGTACTCACATGGATCTTCTTCTTCCAAGAGAGAATTTGGGGCTGGTGATCATGAAGTTCCAAGTGGACCAAACCCTATTTCCAACAAGTAAGTCTGCTTTTTCCAAAGCATGAATTTTCACTGTTCGAGTCGTCATCGAGGAAGAAGGAGAAAGATTTGCTAAAGCTGCAGTAATGGCGTTTATAATTCTTGTTTGTTGTTCTCTTTATCTCTCTAGATCTCTCTCTATAGTCATTAATTATGATCTGAGTTGCCATTAATACACTACTTGTCCTCAGTGAGAAGTTTGTTAGTTTCTGTTGTCATCGTCATCAGTGTATATATATCCAGAGACAAGTCTTTATTTATACATATATATATTTTTATGTATTAAAATCTACTAAATGTAAACAGTTGTTTATAGAGAGAGGGGGGGGGGGGGT